GCGGAATAGATCTGCTACGCTGCTGCTGCGGCAGAGCAAGTACAGAGACTTGCTACTGCCAATACATCCATAACATGCTGCTGTGAGCATGTAAGAAATACTGCTGCTGTACATATAACATACATGAAATAACCCCCATATAGCATACATGAATCACCTCATAGCAGATCTATACAGGTGGAGCTGGGGAAAGTAAAGGGTTTCTGAAGCAAGCTGCAACTGCTACAGCAAGCACTAGTCATATATTTGAATGCTGAGCAGCGAGCTCATTGGCTACCGATACAGGAGAGAACCAGCTGTGCCATGTGATAATGTCATTAGGTCAGATTGAGTTAGACCTATCAGACTGTGCCATCTAGAGTTTCATGCCAGAACTCAGTATTTATATAAATAAAAATTATATAAATAAACATTAACTGAAATAAAAAGTTAAAACTTCATCTAACAGCAACATTTCTCATTTTTGTTTGGTTTAAATTGAATAACTAAAACCTAATAAATACTACAGTACATAGACATAACCTTAAAAAAGTCCAAATTAAATCACTAAAAATAAAATTCAAAATATTAACAAAAAGTATAATAGTATATCAATGATACTAAAACTGCTGTCAAGTAATTAAAATATTTAAATCACAATTTATATCTAATCTCTTTTTAAAGACAGAAAATAAATAAATAAATACATACTAAGTAAACAATTCAATAAAACAAGCATTTTGTTGCTATATTTTCAGCCAGTGGCCTCAGAAGATGTTTGCATCAACATCTCTATGAATGACCGGGTTTATGGCTGGTATGACACTTGAGCTTTGATTCTAATTCAGTTTCACCATATGAAGAATGCAAATGACTTTTGTTAAACATCCCATATGATTTGATTCGAACAGCAAATTTATTATCCATAAAGACTGTCTTTCTGCATTCAATGAGAAGTTTTTGCTTTGGTAGGGACTTTGTGAGTGCATATGTGTGTGCGTATGTGTGAGAGAGAGAGAGAGAGAGCACGGGCACTTCCGATGCCAATAAATTAATAAACCATGCTAAAAAATGAAATGCATTAAATATATTTAATCATATTAATACATTATCATCGACGAATATATGATCCAGATTTTTGAAACTTGAAAAAGTTAAAGTTTTGAGTTTAGATGGTTTTACATATAGTTTTTAGAATGATTTCAAGAGTTAAAACATATTCATTAGACATCTGTAATGTTGGAAACCACAGGAAGTCACACTCATGCCTGCAGACACAGATATCATCTTGAAGTTTATGAATATATCTGAGAGAATCAAAATGAAGGCAAGCTGAATTGAATAATATCAGCATGGCTTTAGAGAACACAAACAAACTTTGGGTTCTGCATTTTCACAATATGATTTTTTTGAAGAGAAAAAACAATTATGAAATGCTCATTAAATGCTGTATAATATTACTAATTTTATGAGGTCTATGAGGTTGAAGGTTGAACCAGAGATGCTCCGATGTCGGCTTGTGTTTCGGCAGACCAACCTGGTTCTTCCTGTAGTCCTGCTGTGAATGTCGCAGCACACGGTAACACAACCTGCAGATGTGCCTGAAGGGTGCGTGTCTCTGGTCACTCAGCTCCTCCAGACGCAACATGGGCCCATCACCACCGTCTGTGAATGGGGCCTGAAGCAGCTTGAAGATCTGTTGATGGAGAAAGTAAAGAGACTGGAATGAATACTACAACTGGTGTATCTACACTCTTAAATATAAGCGTTCTTTATTGGGATCAATGAAATATAAGTGTTCTTTATTGGGATCTATGGTTGTTCCATGAAGAATGGTCACCATGCTTGGAAGCTTTCCATTGCACAGAATGTTCTGTATAGTAGAAAAAGGTTCTTCAGATTATTTAAATATTTTTAACACTAAGAAAAATATTTTCTTTTAAGAACTGTTCGCTGAAAAGTTCTTTGTAGAACCAAAAATGGTTCTTCTGTGGCATCATTGTGGAAAAACCTCTTTTGGAACCTTAATTTTTAAAACTGTATTCCATCCAGTTATGGTTTATGGAAAAAAAATCATTCTGACCAAAAAAGTTAAAGGGGTCCTATTATGCTCTTTTACAAAGTCTTGATTTTGTTTTGGGGGTGTACTAGAACATGCTCTCATGCTTGGTGGTTCGAAAAACGCATTATTTACATTATTAAAATACCTTTCTCCCCAGGAAGGCACAAACGTCTCGATTAGTTCCGGCTTTGATGAAGGTCCGCCTTCCGAAAAACAAAATGTGTTGCGAACAGCGGTGTTTCAGTACTGCCACGCCCCCTTGCGCCGTCTTTCAAACAAAAGCTTTTGGGAATCTGGCACTTCTCACTCGTGATGTGAAAGCTGTCCTCAGTAAACTGCGCAGCACACAATAGCAAATTGGGGTTATAATGCTCAGGAACAGAGTTAAAAAGTAAATTGCAACCACTGTTT